GAGCGCGCGGCTCGAGAGGCCGGCGCGGCGCAGCGCGAGCAGCCCGAGCGAACGCGCCACGGCGGCGCTGCCGAGGCCAAGGCGCGCGCCTCCCTCTCGAGGTCACGCGGGGGAGGAGGAGGAGGAGGAGGATGAGGAGGAGGAGGAGAGGAGGAGGAGGAGGAGGAGGAGGGAGGAGGAGGAGGACAGGAGGAGGAGGAGAGGAGGATGAGGAGGAGGAGGAGGAGGGGGGGGGGTGGGGAGGAGGAGAGGAGAGGGGGAGGAGGAGGAGGAGGAGGAGGAGGAGGAGGAGGAGGAGGAGGAGCGGAGCAGCAGGAGCAGAGGAGCGGGAGTAAGAGGAGGAGGAGGAGGAGGGAAGGAGAGGAGGAGGAGGAGGGAGGAGAGAGAGGAGGAGGAGGAGGAGGAGGAGGAGGAGGAGGCAGGAGGAGGAGGAGGAGGGGGGCGAGGTCGGGCAGGAGGTCTCGAGCAGGAGGCGGGCAGGCAGGTGGAGCGGGAGGGCGAGGCCGAGCCAGGAGGTCGAGCAGGGGTCGGGCGAGGAGGAGGCCGAGCAGAGGGAGAGGTGGCTGCCCTCTATGGCGCGAGGCCGCCGCGCGAGGGCCCTCGGCGGCCTTCAGAGGCCCCCGAGGCCCCCTCTCGTCCGCCTCGGGGGGGGCCCTTAGGATTGCGGATGCCATGACAACGGGCACTCTAGCAGTTCTGTCGTTGAATGTGATTGGAAGTATGTGTTCAAGGAGTTTTATTCATGGTTCGAACCTGTTTCAAGCATGAGCTCGCATGCTTTAAACGTGTGCACGTGTTCTACACGTCGATACCTGGAACATATTTGACAGCATGCCTCCTCTCCATGGATCGTCCTCCACAGCCCTAGGACGAGGCTAGGACGAGGAGACATCCGCTCCAGAGCGCTCCCAGAGCGCTCCCAGAACGCTCTGCGCAGGCCGCGGCGCCCGGTACGCCCTCCAGAGCCATCGGGCCTCAGAGGCCCTCCGACGCATCAGCACCCGAGTTTGCCCTCGTCCTGGCTTCGTCTGACCCCTGCCCCCGGCGCTCGTCGGGAGCGGCCAAGAGGGGGGTGTCCAAGAGGGGGGGATGCAAATCATGACCGGCGGCATGTGTGCCGCCCAGCGGGGGGGCCCGGGACGTGATGAAATGAGATGAGGCGCCACGAAATCGGAGGAAAAATCATGGCCCGCGCCACGAAATCCACCCCCCCCCTAGTCATCACCCCCCTCTTTTCCGCCCCCGGCGCTCGACGAGGCGCGCCCGCCCCGACGCGGTCGAGGCGCCTCGCCGCCCTCTGGCGGCAACACAAAAAAAGCACCCCTCCGCGGCGACGCCCCGCGGGGCCGCGAGGCCCCCGAGGCGGGAGAGAGGGCGACACGCCGAGGACCGCCACGGCGGAGGGGCCCTGGGGCACTCACAGTAAATACACGCACATACAGCAGGACTCCCCATATTTTCCCCACATTTTTGAAGTTTTCGTCTTCCCCCCCACTTCCCATATGAAGATCGTCGAAGACGGCCCCTTTAGTTTTGCGACACGCCGAGAACCGCCACGGCGGAGGGGCCCTGGGACACTCACAGTAAATACGCACACATACAGCAGGATTCCCCATACTTTCCAGGATCTTTGGGGTTTTCGTCTTCCCCCCCACGTCCCATATGTTCCTATATGTTCTGGGGGATCGACGCTGACCTGTCTCTGTGTCTTTTTCCCCCTCCTGACACGGGCCAGTCCGAAAAGTTCGAGCCCGACTCTCGCATCCAGGACCTCGGGCGATCGATCGAGGACGCCGACGAGGGCGCCGCCAACGAGAACCTCATGCATCCTGCAGCCAGCCCCCGTGCAAACCGCGACGCACGATCGGGACGCAGGGATCTTGGAGGGCCACGCCGGCACTCTCTGCGAGCGGGGCGCGGCCGGCGAGAGCGAGCAAGGCTGGGCCGGAGGGACACGGGTGCAACGATGACCCTGTGGACTGTGGCTCATCCTTGCCATGCGGGTTCACTGCAAGGACGTGCTTTCTGTGCAATCGCGGGCGCCAGAGCTCGGAACCTTTCCGGCTGGTTCGTCCTGGACCAAGGTCGACAGCCCAGGGCCCGAGAGCAGCCCTGGAGACCGAAGCCGCCACGCAACGCGGAGCCAACCTTCCAGAAGGACGCGCGGGCAGAGCCGTGCGCGTCAGGACAGTCTAGCATTGGCGTCGTAAGGATGACTGCGCGTGCTCAGCGGCGCAGGATCGGTCTGCATGCATCACGGACGCGACGCAGAAGTACGGAGCGCGACGCGACCGTGAAACAGATCGTGGAGCGCCCAACGACTGTGAAACAGAACATGTAGCGCCTCACAACGGTGCGGCGCAGGGAGACGGAAGGGTGGGGACATCAAAAGGTGACGATACTGCTACTCCCTGACCTCTCCCGACGAGGACCTCCCAGGAGGCCCAAAAAGGGGAAAACGAAGGAGGGATAGCGGTATGAGTACCTTTTTCCCCCTCCGAGGGGAGGAGGAGGATGAAATCCGCCTGGACTGAACAGAATCGCATCGTATGCACGAAACGCCGCCAAACCTTCCAGCGGGAGGCATGTTGTGCAGGCGCCTGCTTCGGTCTTGCAATGGAGGCGAACATTCTTGCCGGAACGTGATAGGAGAATTTCCAGCTCCACGCAGCTGACGGAGATGCCACGCTTGGGGAGTAAGCCACGTCTAAATTTTCGCAGCGCCGTGGTCCCACTGCTTCAGGAAGACGACTATATGTCTCCGCCCACCTGTGCAAATCTCCTGCGCGCAATATCCGCACAAAAACAAACCATGGCATGGGTTCCTGCCCTACCGCAGTGCTGGTCAATTTGTGACCACGGTCGGGTGCCACAAGCAAAAGCTCCTCCACCAAAGCTGGGAGCCCAGTGCATACGACCTCAGGTCAGTCAGTATGGGTCCCCCGCATAAGCCCGAGGCAGCTCGCACACCGCCGTCCCAACAGCCAGGGCTCCCAGGAGCGCCAACCTCCAGCGCACTCAAGGCCTTGTCGCTTCCTCTCTCGCTCGGACGGTCTCTGGTGCAGTCGGAGCAAGGGCACGGGAGCGTGGGCTGAGGTCAGAAGAGCAACCTTCAATAACATGAGACCCCCCGTCGGCCAAAACAAACATGACATTCAAGGGTACCGTCCCCAGGATGCACAAGAACATCCAACAAACACGAATAACATTGGGAGACCCTCCCCGAACCGACCTCGATCTTGTACCTCGTTCCGACTGTATCCGAAATAAAGAGCACTCCAAGGTGGACAGCCCAATGGTCAAGAACGGAGGGGCATCACTCCCAAACTAGGATTGCTCCTAACCCTTGGGCCAGCTGTGAATTACACTGGGAAGGAGAGGGGGAGGCCGCCGCGTCCATACACGCGCCACGCTCTACAGAAGCTCTCTCTCTCTCGAGCTCCCCCACTGCTGCGACTCCGCATCCGAAGTCTGGGGGGGAACTGCTCCAGTAACTCGCCATCGCTCGGAAGCCCATTCCCCATGTTTGTGTCGGTGTCGTGCGTATGGTCTGTTGCTCGATGATCCAGGATGTTTCTCGATGGCCCTCGCCGCGACAACATGCACACAACCGAGCGGTGCAAAGGTGGCTCTCTCGCTCTCTCTCTCTCTCTCTCTCTCTCTCTTCACCCCCACCAATCCATGGTTGAAGGGGCTGCTGAGAGCGGGGCAGGGGGGACAAGCGACAGGACCACCTGCTCGCGATGACCGGCACAGGCCCCCCGAGGGGGCACAGGGCCAGCCACCGCGCCAAGATCGTCAGCTCCCAACCCCCAAGCCCCGCGGGCAAAGAGGACAGCGGGGGTGGAAAGCGAGGGCCGGCTCGGCCTCCCCGTCGGCCCGTTGGCTAGCCTGCCCCATCCGCCATTCCGGGCGCAGGGGGAGCATCCATCGCTTCGAGCTTCCGATATTGGCCAGCGAGAGAACCGCCGAGGTGTGTGTACCCTGCCACAAACGTATCTCTCCTGTCAGTGCAGCTGCTCACTCGCACTCGCGCTGTGCAGCCCCGCCGAGTCCACAGTGACTCTGCATCGAGCTCTTCGAAACGGGACACGAACGTGGGTTGCGTATGGTCCTGTGCTAGGCTTGGCTGAGGGGGGCTAAGCCACATCGGCCCACGACCGCTACCTACTCGCACCGACCGTTCATGAAGACCCACGCGCACCATGCCCTTGACAATTCTGATCTGACGTGAGGACTGCATGACCGATCGTCAGCCACATCCAAGCAAATGCTGCCAAACTCTGCCCTTGCTACCTCCTCCCCGTACTTTTTTACGCAGCAGGGGTTCATGCCTCCCCCCTTGCTACATACCCACCGACTTTTTACGCAACAGGGGTTCATGCGCGTCCGGGTGAGTTTTGAAGAACAGAAGGGAAGGACCGAGGAAGTCGTGTCCGCCGCTCGGTCGTTCTTTTATCCTTTCGACCTTTTCAAGCTGACCTTTCATTGCCTGACCTTTTGTCAACTACCTAACTAGATTGCTGGCTGCCCTGGGATATCCAATGGCAGTCAACCGCTACAATCACTCCAGAACATACCAGCGGCCAGCTGCCAGCTTCGAGGAGGAGGTCGGGGCCGAGGAGGAAGATAGGAAAGGCTGTATACTAGAAAGAAGATCCCAGAAAGGCGGTCAGGCATCGGCCACCAGCCTGCCCCGCTGCAGCAGCAGCAGCCGCGAGGATGATGAGGTCGAGAAGGAGGTCGAGGTAAAGGAGGCCGAGGAGGAGGAGGAGGAGGAGGAGGTCGAGAAGGAAGGAGGAGGAGGAGGAAGGAGGAGGAGGAGGAGGAGGCACGCCAACGCGATGAATCCGAAGGAGGATGAGGAGGAGGAGGAGGAAGAGGAGGAGGAGGAGGAGGAGGAGAGGAGGAGGAGGAGGAGGAGGAGTTTGAGGTGGAGGCCGAGGAAGGCGACCTCCCCCCGGCGCGAGGCCGCGTGCGGCCGCCGCCCCCCGCGCGGCCTGCACGCGCAGAAGCTCCCCAGCGGCTCCCCCGCGGCCCCCGGTGCGCCGCCGCCCTGCGGCTCGTTCGGGGGGGGGGGGAGCGCGGGCACACCGCATGGGGGAGGAGGAAGGAGGGAGGGGGGGGAGGGGGGGCAGGGAGAAGCGAGGGGGACGAGGAGGGGGGAGGCGGAGGAGGGAGGAGGGAGAGGGGGGGGGGAGGGGGGGCAGAGGCAGGGAGATGGCAGAGGGGACGAAGAGAGGAGGAGGGAGGAGGAGGGAGGAGGGGGGGGGAGCTCGACCGACGGATAAGAGGCGGCATACATGTGACTCCTCGGAGGTCCGCGCGGGTCTCCTGGATTATCGGCGTCGGGCCCTTCCCCGCGGCGCTCCGCGCGCCTAGGAAGGGGGGGGGGAACCAAGCGCCAAGAGAGAGTCGCGCGGAGCGTCGAGACGTGGCGTGCATGCATATGTCATGCTCTGCAGGCCGACGAGCGAGGGAGGAGGGAGCGCTGTGGCCGCGCCCGGGGGAAGGGGGGGGGGGGCGCGCCGCGCGCAAGGACGCGCGCAACCCCTGGGCAGGCGGGCTGGCGCCGCGAGGGTCAAGGGTCGAGAAGGACCGATCATCGAGATTCGAGGATCGACCCTGTGTTTCGAAATAAGGCTGCTCGCCCTGGAGGAGGAGGAGGAGGAGGCGGAGGAGGGGGAGGAGCCGGAGCAGCAGGAGCAGGAGCGGGAGTAAGAGGAGGAGGAGGAGGAGGAGGAGGAGGAGGAGGAGGAGGAGGAGGAGGAGGAGGAGGCGCGGGAAGAGGAAGAGAAGGGAGGGGAGGAGGGGAGGAGGAAAAGGAGGAGGAGGATAATGAGCAGGAGGAGAAGGAGGAGGAGGCAGGAATGGTGGGGAGGGAGGAGGAAGAGGACAAGAGCGACGAGAAGCGCGAGGAGGAAATGCCACTCCGCCCGCTCGCTCGCTGCGGCACCTGCGACGGCACGGAAAGAGGGCGAAGCCAGGTGCGGAGGCTGGCGTGTGCAATAATCCCGGACCGAGGTTTGAGCACGCTTGGGGCGCCTTCGGACAGCCCTCGCGTCAGCATGGTGATAGAACATATACAAACGAAGCCAAGGCGAAGATACGTTCGGATGAGGATACTGAAGGGGCCCTGGGACACACAAATAAATACACACAACTAAAAGGATTCCCCATATTTTCATTTTTGTTTATGGGTTTCTGTCTTCACCCTGTGCCCCTATTGTCCCATATTTTCTAAGGAATCGACGATCCATTGTGTCTGTGTGTTCTTTCTCCTCCTAAGGTCAATCGAGAAGCTCTGAGACCCACAGGCGTCGCAGCCTCCTCAGAGCGTTCTGGAACGCTCGGAACGCTCTGGAACGGATTTATCGTCGTCCCAACCCCGTCCGAACAAATCACGACATCGGGAGCGGCCAAGAGGGGGTGTCCAAAAGGGGGGGGGTGCAAATCATGACAGGCGGCATGTGCGCGGCCCAGCGGGGGGGCCAGGGACGTAATGAAATAAGAAGAGGCGCCATAAAATCTGGGGAGATACCATGGCCCGCGCCATGACATCCACCCCCCCTAGTCATCACCCCCCTCTTTGCCGCCCCCGACGACAGGAAGTGTTGGACAATCGTCAGCCTACTTGGGGGTTTCGCCGGGCCCCGGGAAGACGGTTAAGAAAGGGATCGGGACGAAACGCCAGTCCCGTGGAAGGGGTCGAGAACTCGGGGAGCTTATTTCGCACCTGCTGTGGCAATGTTCCTATACACTTTCGTATGCAGGTCGTGTTCAGAAGAGCCCCGCACGAGACGAAGCGTCATGCCGATGCTGGCAAAAAGCTGCACTACGTGCTTTGGTCGCCTGGACTGACGTGTCTTAACTTTCTCATACGAGGGGAGGGGTGCAGAGCGGGAGGGGAAGAGAATGGCCACGGCAGGTTCGTAACGTGCCGACTTCGGCGTCGGATTCTGACACCGAAGGGATCCGACCAGCCACAACTGGGGGAGCTGTGGTCCTTACCCCCCTGGGGGAACCCATCGCGTCGACGATCTCTCGAGAGGGGTGTCGAAATCGATGGGTCCCCCAGGGGGGTAAGGGCCACAGCTCCCCCAATTGTGGCTGGCCTGGGGATTTGGACGCCCGAAATGGGTACGGAAAAAATGAATACGATGCCCAACAACAAGTGTTGTCCCAAACCAACCGCGGCCGCTGTTGGGCAGGCGGCCTTCTGTCCCAAGTAGACACAGGCCGCGGCGGCGTGGACAGCGAGCCCTGCCCAAAGTGAGCAAGAGCTGCTGTTGGGCACTGTGACCATGCTTTCCGCACCCATGTCGCTCGTCCCGAGGGGATCGTTCAACCTTGAGCGATCGGCCATTTCCGACACGTCAGGTCGTGCAACATCGACCGACTCGGCCAAGCCGGCGGCGCTCCGCGCGGAGCGCCCGCGGCGGGGACCCGCCGCCCAGTCGGCGCGGCAGGGCGACCGACCGGCCGAGAGGGGGCGCAGCGGCACAGTGTCGACGTCGGCGGCCAGGCAGGGGACGTCTGCGCTGGCGATGGGAGGCCCAAACGGGGATGCCGTTAGAGCGAATTGCGCCACCGTGCAATGCAGGAGGAGGAGCGGGGAGGGGGTGCGGCTCCGCCGCCGGTCGGCGCGACGCGCGCACCTATGCCGCAGGACGACCGGCCGAGAGGGGGCGCAGCAGCACAGTTTTGACGTCGGCGGCCAGGCAGGGGACGTCTGCGCTGGCGCTGGCGAGGACGGGGATGCCGTTGGAGCGAAGTGTGCCACCATGCAAATACGAGGCGGGAATTGATCCACATCCAGCGCCTGGGAACCGACGTCCTGGTGCCCCGGCGGGCGGTGGATATGGATATATTTTGGCCCTGGGGGGCCCGAAACTATTCATATCCACCGCCTCGGAGCAATGCAAGAGGAGCAATGCAAGAGGAGGAGCGGGGGGAGGGTGCGGCCGAAAAAGCGGCGCAGCAACAGAGGCCGGGGCGGTCACCGCCGCACGCTCTCTGCGCGACCTCGGCCTTGCACCGGGCGGGCCCTGCCCGTTCATCTGGCACTGCACCCTCCACTCTCCCAGATCCCCTCGAGTTCGGAACAAATCACGAAGGGGAGGAAATGTTTCGCTGTGCTCGGCCTCGGGGGGGCCCTTGGCGGCCCTCGGGGCCGTCCGAAGACGACTCAGGACGAAGAAGAACGGTCCCGGGGAAGGCTAGGGGTCCACGCCAGGAACAAATCAGGACGTCGGGGGTCCATGGGCCTGAGCTCCTTCGGCCGGCTCTGGCGCTGTGGCGTGGCTGGTGAGTCCACCCGCGTCGGTGGCCTCGCCCGCCTCGGCGCTGCAGCAGCCCGGTCCAGGCAGGAGCTGCCCGAACATCTGCGTGGGCTCGCTCGGCCAGCGGAGAGCGAGTGGAGGGCTGCCTCTGCAAAAGGGCCAGGGAGTGACCCACGTCCTCTCTGACTCTCTCTCTTCTGCTAAATAAGAAACCTTTACAGGTCGGGCATGCCCCCTTTCACGCGGATCTTGAAAGAAGACTCACGAATTAGTCAACGAAGATCAAATCAAAATCAACGTGATCTAAAACACATCGTCCTCAGACTGTTGGTTGACTGTTTTCGGATCCCCCTCCTGCAGAGGGACATGCCCGACTCAACTCTGCACGTATCGGGTCGGGCGAAAGGGGGGGATAGCAAAGGGGGGGTTTGAAAATCAGCTCACGTAGCTGACTTTCCCGGCGCCTCCCGGCGCCGGAGGCGGCTATGTATCGAGGAATGGGCCCCTCGGTGAGGCCGAAACCAGCTGCATGCAGCAAATTTCGTAACCCCCCCTTTCCCAATCCCCCCCTTTCGCCCGGCCCGAACGCAGGAGTGGCCCTGGTGCCCCCAGGCACGAGGGGCCTCCGGGGCGCGGCTCCCGGCGGCCGTGGGGAGAGGCCAGCTCTCCGCGCGCGCAGGGCAGTGTGCCGCGGGGGCCCGCTCCCGAGGCCCGCTTCCGAGGCCGCTCGAGGCGAAGGGGGCCCCTCCCTCTGAGAAGCAGCCGATCGAGACGAAGCCAGGGCGAAGCTGAGCCCGGGGAAGGCCTAAGGTAGTCCTAAGGTAAGCCTAAGGTAAGCCTAGGGTCGGCCTAAAGGGTAAGCCTAAGGGGTAGGCCTAGGGTCGGCCTAGGGTAGGCCTAAGGTAGGCCTAGGGTAAGCCTAAGGTAAGCCTAGGGTAGGCCTAGAGGGTAGGCCTAGGGGGTAGGCCTACGGAGTAAGCCTAAGGCAGGCCTAGGGTAATCCTAAGGTTGGCCTAGGGTGGGCCTAGGGTAGGCCTAAGGGGTGGGCCTAGGGGCCTCGCCATCGCTCGGACGTCCGCTTCGGGTGCATGCTTCGACGTCGCGCGCCCACCTTTCGAGAGCGATCCCGGATGCTCCTGGATGGTCCTCGCCGAGGAAGAGCTGCACAGGTCCCAGCGATGCCCAGGACCTGGCGAGTCTGGAGGAAGTGCCAATGGCCTGAAGTCGGGCTTGCCCCTCTACCGGGGGGAATACTCAAAAATAGTTATGAAACAAACGGGGACTATGTTTTGAGTATTTCCCTGGGCATCCTGTACATAGTTTCTGGAATATTTCAATTCTTCGTCAAAAATTCCCATGCCGGGGGACAGGCCCGACCTAACAGAGGCCGCGGCCGCTCCGAGGAGCGCACTGCGACGCCCCAGTTGGCGTCCCCGAGCGCCCTGGAGCGGCCTTCCTCCCGCCATCGCTCGGAGGTCCGCTCCTCGCGCAGCTCTCGGCTTCGTGCGCGCAGTTGCTTCGCAGGAGGGCCCAAATATAATACCCAGATCCCCTCGAGTGGAGAAGAACAGAGAAAAAAACACGACGCCAAGTGCTTCGCTGTTTTCCGCCTCTGGGGACCTTCCCGGCCCTCGGGACCGTCACAAAACGGCTCGGCACGAAAAACCGGTCCAGGGGAATGGATCCAGACCGCTTGGGGTTCACGTCATGAAAAAAAAATCATCACGTCGGGGGTCTGGGTACTCCTCGATGGTTCTTGCCGAGGGAAAATACA